AATTAATGCTCTAAATTTTCTGTACTATACCAGATTGAACTTATTATTTTGTATAAGAAAAGGTATACATATATACATGTAAATATAAAACTATTATAAAGGCATAAAAGTGTGTAATTACGTATACAAGATAGATATTTGTTAAAATTTAAAAAGGAAATTTCAGCAATACTACTATATCATCAATTATTGGTTAAATTTCCTCTTTGAACTTTAGCACATATTTGACAACATATATAATAACATAAGCTTTAGCAATCAAAAGTATAAAAATCAAAGCGACCTTCATTAGCATTCCTCTGGTTTTTAATCCAATAAATCTTTTTACTCTTCATAGTAATTTTATAGCAATAAGAGTTTCAATTTTTAATTTGGTGCAATTATTTTTGCTTATACATTTCAATTTGATCTAAAGTAAATAAATAGTAAAGATAGTATCCAATTCAAAGTGAATCCCTCTGCCTGTGATCAATCACAAATTAAATTATTTATGTTGGATTTAATTGTGATGGATCTAATCCCTCACTAGTTTTAATATATATATAACATTAATAGTCTCTGCTGTAAAGTAAATATCTATTACTACATATTTGTCTATTCGTAAATATGAATAATTACTCCTGGGTTTTCCTCTCATAGTATGATGAAATATTTTCTGACTTACTATTATTTTATGTGAACATAATTATACTTATCAAAATTGTACAGGTACTAGCTTGTTGTAAGTGTTTTGAATCTTGTGTTTATCAGTTTACATTATAATAACTTAATCACATATGCATTATACACGAGACTGCAAAATTGTCTTTATTTTTTTAGTCTTCAGTTCATTAGCTGTTCAATACAAAAAAATTATAGCAATATATTTTTTCACATTATGCCAACAATAAATATACAAATCATTCAAGAATCAAAAGTATTATTTGGCTGGAAGGTTATATCATTACAAACTGATATTACGGTTGAACAATTTTTTTAGAAGTAGCAGAAGAACATATATTAAATTATCATTTAGATTTGATTAAAAAGATCAAGGCTCGATGTGGACAATCAAAAACTATGATTAATCAAAATATTGACCTTGCATATAATTTGTGGAAGGTTGCATTAGATTACAAAAAACATTTTGTTTTTCAATTACTTACATCACAAACAACCTCACCAAATTGCCAATATACCAATCCCTTTGAAATTATGTTTAATACTCAAAATTCTATTACACTTTCAATATAGAAACTTAGTACAAAACCAAATAAAAAAGAACAACTGCGAAGTGATATAGTAGCATGGATTAAAAAAGAAAATGGTGGTTAGATAGGACCGAATATGGCTAAGACAGTTGGCAAATCATTTATCCAAGATTTAACTAATATATTATAGTACATAGATGGATATAATAGTGATATATTTACACAATGATACAACTTACCAAAAGTCTTTGAAGACTTTATGGGTTACAACAATCCACAACATTACAAATGTGCCCAACCTAGATTTAATGTTGAAGAGCTTAATGAATATAGTAAACATCTTCTCAAATATGCTATATACCTGTGGATAACAAGATCACCATTTTTAACATTTCTCAAAAAACCAATATAAAGCTCGGTGAAGACCTTTTTAAATATGCGAGTATCTTGTCTACAAACATACAGCAACATCACAAAACCAAGAACTTGATCAACCTGTAATTAATGAATACAATAATGGCCAATTAAAAATATTCAAGGCCAATGAAAAATGTAAATTAGAGAATTCTTTAAAATATAGAAATCTTTCATCAGCTTTACAAGAAAAACAATACTAGTAGCCAATTTTGGCTGATAATTTCTGCTCTTCAATGTTATGTGTATAAGTATTTACTAAAAAAATAAAATAAAATAAAAAATAAAAAGTAAAAAAATAACAAAAAAAACAAAATAAAAATAAAAAAAAATAATAACTTTATACCATATTAATATATAGACAAAAGTATTGGTATTTAGCAAGCTTAGAAGTTGGATTCATATTTAAAATCAGAATTTTTACTTATCATCACGGAAACATTTATAATGCAACATATATTTGGTATATAGATGAGAAAGTAGAGGAAGAAGAAGTGTCTAAACAACATTATAAAATCAGAACAGAAATAAAAAAATGTTTTCCTACTTATCATATACATTGTATATATAGAGAATATATAGATATATGCGACCTTCATCTAAACAAACAACCAAAAGCCAAATTGCGATGTATATATAAAGAATTAACAAATAATGCTTTATCTACTGAAATGACTAGTCAAAAAGAGGTTGATGAGCATATCAAATTAGCCTTTAGACTAAATGATTCTAAAATAATTAATGATTTAAGAGAATTTAACGAAGGTCGGCTATATAAATATAATGAAATTTGGGCTGCATACAAAAAGTTTTTGGAAGACACTATGCAAGAAGCAGTAGTTGCTATAGATAAAAGAAGATACGACCCAATTGTGCATCTCATACAAGCTATTTCAGTATATAATCTTTATGATATTATAACAAAGAAAGTAAAAAAAATTAAACCGCAAGCACCAATTCCATCAGCCCAATAGCTTCGTCTACAATTCTAGCCAACTACACTGACAAATAAAAATAGTTTACAGTATACTAGCATTTTGGCTATTAAATTTATGATCCAGACTTGTTAGCTTTGATGTGAGCATGTTGATTTACATTATACATTAGCATTATTTCGATATTTAAAAGAAATGGCAATCATGTTTTGGAATGAGGCCCACCTTGTTTTTATGGATAATAAACACCGCTGTAAAGTTGGTGAATCAGGTTATCCAGTTGCAGCTGTAGATCGTGAAAAGAGAGTACTTGTTAATCACAATATAACATTTGTTGTTAGTGATCATGATTTTACAAAATGTGAAATTATTCTAAGCATTACAATGTTATGCAATATATCTAAAACAATTGAAGAATCTTTTTATACTGGGAAAGTTTACGTTAGGCTAAAAAAATGTATATTCAAACCTTCAAGTTCAATGCAACACATTACAGAATTGTATACTATTTTGAAAAACCAAGATGATGACAAGCCTTATCTGTTTATTTACACTGATAGTAGGCCAGACCATCGAGTAAATTTTCTTCAGGTACAATTTGTATTAATTGTAATTTTTTTGACTTTGGACTTGGATTTGTTAGTTGCTGTTCGAACGCCTCTAGGACACTCATAGAAGAACCCAGTCAAACGCATTATATCTATTTTAAACCTTGGTCTGCAGTGTGTTGGCCTTATAAGAAGTGAAATAGATAAAGAGCTTGAAAGTTTAGTGAAAAGCTGCAATATGATAAATGAAATTCGTAATAAAGCCAAAACAGTACTTCATAATTAAAGCTTACAACCTACTAAGACCATTATGCAAGATATTTTTGAATGATTAAAGCTTAAGAGAAAAAATTTTTCTATATTCAAATCAGCAACAGATCAAGAGATTGAACACTTGTGGAAGTCAATGCTTGAATTGAACAATTCATTAATACCTGAAGACATGTCTAGAAAGCATATTAAAAATAAGGTTAGTTTCGATTTGTAAAAAAAAATTTAATATTGTTGTAAACTTATTTATAAATGCACATATATATTTAGCTCCGCATTCTTGAATTCATGAACCATTGTTGCTGATTAAGAACTTATTTTTTTGAAATTAGAAAATATCAAGCGGCTGAAACTAGTTATACAATTTGCAGACCGCCACAGAGTAAACCTGATGTATTTGTAAAATTACAACCCTTTCCAGATTCTATTCCTAAAGCAAATAAAAATTACTATATACCATTTTGTGAAATATATAGTAAGGATACTAGTGAAAAATACTGCTCATCATTACTTCAAAAAGGCAATGTATCTACATCAACTACGATTAATGGTCTTGACACCAATGGTATAGATTTCAGCCCCCGGGCACAATATGCAGCAAATATGCATGTTTTGGTAAAGTGTATTGAATAGGTCCCCAAACAATCTATAGACAGGTAAGATTTTAATTTGCTTATTTCAGATTATTTTTTCTGCAGATCTTTTTATTTTTAGTAATTAGTTTGCTTATTTCAATAGTATTTGTAGTTGGTTCTTAAATATTGACTAACTAAGTCGATAAAATAAAAAATGGCTTAGCCGGCTTAGTTGACTAAATAATCATGCAAAAATTAGATACTCAGAATATAGTCATAGACAATTATAATTATAATAATTATACCTGATGATTTTTCACTATACATATGTATCTGCCAAAAGATTGTACCTGTTGCTTCAGATCGATTTTTGCCTCAGGTATTGATCATTTGGTCAGCATTAACTGATCGATATTAATTAGCCTAAACTATAGCCTAATACTTACTCTAACTCTAACTCAGGCCGATCAACACCTGAAGCAAGAATTGATTTGGACTATTAAAAGTCAACTAAGCTGGTTTTTGAAAAAATCAACTGGCTTAGCCAGCTAAATCGCTAAGTCGACTAAAGTGCTATCAACTTAGATCACTATATTTCAGGCTTTTTTCTGCAGATTCTTCTATTTTAATAATTTTTGCAAATTGTTAGCTGTTTATAGATTGTTCGGGATCCTTATTGAATGCAATAGACTATGGATACTCTATTCACAACACCGTTTAAAGCCAGAGAAAAAAAATTTTCTCAAAAACTTTATAGAAACAATTGATTATATATGTAATACAACATTCTATAGTATTTCAGATCTTACAAAAGTTAGTTCACTATCAGTTTTAAATAATAATAATCAGACAATAGATATTGATGATAATGACAATAATCAAACAATAGATATTGATGATAATGATGATAATCCAACAATAGATATTGTTACTAATGATAAAAGTGACAATGATACTGATAGTATAGGAGATAATGTTGATGAATCACCTGTGGAACAAGATAAGGTATCTTTAGAAATATTGTTTAAGCATGTCTTTGTGAATGCCAAGCTTACCTGTTCAACACCTATGGAAGTGCCATACTTTTCTTCGCGTCTTTATCCTAATGTTTGTTTTCAGTGCGGCAATACAGAAATCCTTTCACCAACTCCCGCTGGCCAACATCCATACTGTTCTGAATGCAATATTTCAGTCAAAGCTAAAAAAAGAAAAGGAAAAGGTACTAAATTTAAGAAAAAAGCAAAATAATCAGTGAAATAGATGTCAGCATAACAGAAAGGGCTTAGAAATATATAATAAATGACATAAATAATGGTAATAAAATTGCAAATTGATTGGACGTCATCCAATTTTAGTTAAAAAGAATGAAATGAAAATCTGCGAAAATGTTACAGAAGCCTGAAAAACATAAAGTTTTCATAAATACGGTTGGTCTATACTTTAATTCAATTATCCAAAAATAAAAAAATAAAAAAAAAATCTTACACTCTTTAGCCTTGCGCCTTATTCTATAGGAGAATGAATCGATCTGAAGTATCTTGTAATCGCGACCAAGTGGTAACAATATTGTGCACAGCCTAAAACCAATACCACTATAATCACGAAGAAAATATAAACTCATAGAAAACCAAATTCAAATTCGAAAAAAAGTTCCTAACATGCGTATTAGATCTTTATTCCTGCACTTTAGACAAAAAGTATGGTTCAATGTAATTAGAACGATCAGGTTCACAAAAGAAATAAAGCTTTTATTACTACATTATATATTCCCTTGATCTTGCTTGTACGTTCCATTGAATATTATCTTCCCCAGCATCGCCGTGA